CCACTGTGTCAGTTCATCTCGTTGAGGATCTTCCTCTTTTTCGCTGACGCTCTACTTTACCAAGCATGATGTCCTTCTCCAGGGACTGATCCCTCCTGATAACATGTCCAGAGTACGTGAGACAAAGTCTCACCATCCTTGCTTCTAAGGAGCATTCTGGTTGTACTTCTTCCAATACAGATTTGTTCGTTCTTCTGGCAGTCCGTGGTATATTAAATATTCTTCACCATCACCACAATTAAAGGCGTCAGTTCTTCTTTGGTCTTCCTTATTCATTGTCCAGCTTTCACATGCATATGATGTAATTGAAAATTCCGTGGCTTGGGTCAGGTGCACCTTAGTCTTCAAGCTGACATCTTTGCTTTTCAACACTTTTAAAGAGGTCTTTTGCAATGCAATGCGTCTTTTGATTTCTTGACTGCTGCTTCCATGGGCATTGATCGTGGATCCAAGTAAAATGAAATCCTTGACAACTTCAATCTTTTCTCCATTTATCATGATGTTGCTTATTAGTCCAGTTGTGAGGATTTTTGTTTTCTTTATGTTGAGTTGTAATCAATACTGAAGGCTGTGGTCTTTGATCTTCATCAGTAAGTGCTTCGAGTCCACTTTCAGCAAGCAATGTTGTGTCATCTGCACAACGCAGATTGTTAATGAGTCTTCCTCCAATCCTGATGCCACATTCTTCTTCATATTGTCCAGCTTCTCAGATTATTTGCTCAGCATATAGATTGAATAGGTGTGGTGAAGGGATACAACCCCGACACACACCTTTCCTGACTTTAAACCACACTGTATCCCCTTGTTCTCTCCGAATGACTGCCTCTTGATCTATGTACAGGTTCCTCGTGAGCACAATAAAATATTCTAGAATTCCCATTCTTCGCAATGGTATCCATAATTTGTTATGATCCACACAGTCAAATGCCTTTGCATAGTCAGTAAAACACCAGTAAATGTGTTTCTGGTATTCTCTTCTTTCAGCCAAGATCCATATGACATCAGCAATGATATCCCTGGTTCCACGTCCTCTTCTGAATCCAGCCTGAATTTCTGGCAGTTCCCTGTCGATATACTGCTGCAGCCACTTTTGAATGATCTTCATCAAAATTTTACTTGTGTATGATATTAATGATGTTGCTGGATAATTTCTAAATTCAGTTCGCTTAGCTTTCTTGGGAATAGGCATAAATGCGGATCTCTTCCAGTAGGTTGGCCAGGTAGCTGTATTCCAGATTTCTTGGCATAGATGAATGAGCACTTCCACGGCTGCATCCATTTGTTGAAACGTCTTAATTGATATTCTTTCAATTCCTGGATCCTTCCTTTTTGCCAATGCCTTCAGTGCAGCTTGGACTTCTTTGTTCAGTACCATCAGTACCTGATCATATGCTACCTCTTGAAATGGCTGAACATCAACCAATTCTTTTTGGTATAATGACTCTGTGTATTCCTTCTATCTTCTTTTGTGGGTTCCTGCGTCGTTTAGTATTTTCCCCATAGAATCCTTCACTATTGCAACTCAAGGCTTGAACTTTTTCTTCAGTTCTTTCAGCTTGAGAAATGCCGAGCATGTTCTTCCCCTTTGGTTTTCTATCTCCAGCTGTTTGTACATGCCATTATAATACTTTACTTTTTCTTCTTGAGCCGCCCTTTGAAATCTTCTGTTTAGTTCTTTTACTTCATCATTTCTTCCTTTTGCTTCAGCTGCTTGACATTCAAGAACAAGTTTCAGAGTCTCTTCTGACATCCATTTTGGTCTTTTCTTCTTTTCTGTCTGTTTAATAACCTCTTGCTTTCTTCATGTATGATGTCCTTCCACAACTCGTCTGGTCTCCAGTCATTAGTGTTCAGCGTGTCAAATCTGTTCTTGAGATGGTCTCTAAATTCAGGTGGGATATGCTCAAGGTCATACTTTGGCTCTCGTGGACTTGCTCTAATTTTCTTCAATTTCAACTTGAACTTGCATATGAGCAATTGATGGTCTTTTGCGCAGACGGCCCCTGGCCTTGCTCTGACTGATAATACTGAATTTTTCCATCGCCTCTTTCCTCAGATGTAGTCGATTTGATTCCTGTGTATTCCATCTGGTAAGGTCCATGTGTATAGTCACTGTTTATGTTCGTGATAAAAGGCATTTGCAATGAAGAAGCCTTGTTGGTCTTGCAAAATTCTATCATGCAATCTCTGGCATTGTTTCTATCACCAAGGCTATATTTTCTAACTACCGATCCTTCTTCGTTTCCAACCTTAGTGTTCCAATCACCAGTAATTATCAATGCTTCCTTATTGCATGTTCGATCAATTTCAAACTGCAGAAGCTGGTGAAAATCTTCAAGTTCTTCATCTCTGGCCTTAGTGGTTGGTGCGTAAATTTGAATAACAATCATATTAACTGGTCTTCCTCGTAGGCGTATGGATATTACCCTATCACTGACAGCATTGTACTTCAAGATAGATCCTGAAATGTTGTTTTTGACAATGAATGCAACACCATTCCTCTTCAAGTTGTCATTCCCGGCATAGTAGACCATATGATTGTCTGATTCAAAATGGCCAATACCAGTCCATTTCAGCTTACTAATACCTAGGATATCAATGTTTATGCATTCCATTTATTTTTGACGATTTCCAATTCTAGAGTCATACTTCATACATTCCACATTCCGATTATTAATGGATGTTTGCAGCTGTTTCTTCTCATTTTGAGTCATGCCACATCACAAAATGATGGTCCCGAAAGCTTGACTCCGTCCACATCATTAAGGTTGACTCTACTTCGAGGAGGCAGCTCTTCCCCAGTCATATTTTGAATGCCTTCCAACCTGGGGGACTCATCTTCCAGCACTACATCAGACAGTGTTCCACTGGTATTCATAAGGTTTTCACTGGCTAATTCTTTTCAGAAGTAGACGGCCGGCATCCTTCTTTCTAGTCTGTCTTAGTCTCGAAGCTCAGCTGAAACCTGTCTACCATGGGTGACCCTGCTGGTATTCAATACCAGTGGCATAGCTTCCAGCATCACAGCAACATGCAAACCCCCACAGTACGACAAAGTGGCAGACACGCGGGGGAATAGACAGACCAATGGGATAGAATAGAAACCCACACATCTATTGTCAACTGAATTTTGACAAGGGTGCTAAGTCCATTCAATGGGGAGATAAGAGTCTCTTCAATAAATGGTTTTTTTTGGAAAACTGGAGTTCCACATGCAGAAAAATGGAACAGGATCCATGTCCCATACCATACACAAAAAAAAAATTCAAAATGAATTAAAGATCTAAATGTGAAAACTAAAACTGTAAAATTCTTAGAAGAAAATACAGGGGCAAGGCTGTTGGGCCTAGTTTTTCAATATATTGTCTAATATAACAAAAGCACTAATGGTAAAAGACAAAATAGATAAATGGGACCTCATAAAAATTAAAAACTTTTGTTCATCAAAATACTTTATCAAAAAAGTGAGAAGATAAGCTATGGACTGGAAGAATATCTTTAGAAACCACTGATCCAGTAAGAATCTAGTAACCAAAATATATATAAAACTTTGACAATTTGACAATAAAAAGACAAACCAATCATAAAATGGGCAAAGGACTTGAATAAACATTTCACCAGAGTACATTCAGATGACCACCAAACACATGAAAAGATGCTCAATGTCATTAGCCATCAGAGAGATGCAAATCAAAAGTACAATGTGCTACCATTTCATTCCCACTGGGATTGCTAGGAGCCCTGGTGCTATTGTGGTTAAGGGCTTGGCTGCTATCCAAAAGATTGGCAGTTCATATCCAGGCTGTTCCTTGGAAACCCTATGGGGCAGTTCTACTATGTCCTGTAGGGTCGCTATGAGTCAGAATTGACTCGAAGGCATTTTTTTTTTTTTTTTTGTAGGATAGCTAAGATTTAAAAAAAAAACAGAAAATAACAAATATTGGCAAGGATGTGGGGAAATTGAAACTCTTATTTATGGCCGATGGGATTGCAACATGGTACAGTCATTGTGGAAAACAGTGTGGCAGTTCCTCAAAAAACTAAAAATAGAATAACCATATGGCCCAGCAATTCCACTCCTAGGTGTATACCCAAAAGACTTGAAAGCAGAGACTTGTACACCAGTGTGCATTGCAGCACTATTCACAACAGCCAATAGGTGAAAACAACCTAAATTCCCGTCAGTAGATGAATAGATAAAGGAAATGTGGTACATACATACAATGGAGTACTACTCAGCCAGTAGGAAAAATGAAGTCTTGATAATATGCTACAATATGGATGAAGCTTGAAGATATTATGCTGAGTGAAATAAGTCAATCACAAAAGGACAAATATTGTATGACCTCACTTATATAAAAAGACAAGAACAGGCAAATGTATAGAGACCAGAGTTTATTAGTGGTTACCAGGGGCGGGAGGGAGGGGGAAAGGAGGGGTTTTGCTTATGGAGCACTGAGTTTCGGTTTACGGTGATAGAAAAAGCACATTGATTAAGGGTAGGATTACACAGCCAATTAATATAATTCCTGTCAATAAGTTGTGCACCTGTAAAAAGTTGAATTGGCAAAAAAATAATAATTGCTATGGAGTCAGCTCCTGCTCATGGTGACTCCAAGTGTGTCAGAGTAGAACTGCATTCCGTAGGGTATTTGAAAAGCAGATCACCTAGCCTTTATTCCGAGGCACCTCTGGATGGACTTTAACTGCCAACCTTTTGGTTGGTAGCCAAACGCTTAACCATTTACGCCACCCAAGGACTCGTGTATGAAAAACCATGAGTGAAATTGGAAATAGGTCTTGTGAAAAAACTAGATCTTTGGGTTTAGACTTAGAATTCTCTGGCTTAAAATTTTGGTTTAAGGATATTAGCTAAATTGGCAAGCTTTTTGTTTTTATAAGTATTTACTTTTGTTTTTTCTTTACATTATTTTCTTTCTGGTGGAGTTGAGTTTTACCAAGGAACATGGGTATTAAATAATGTTTCTTTTTTGCTGTAGGTAAAACTTCAGTCAAGAAGCTGACGAAAAAGGTAAGCAAGGTGTATGTGTGTGTTTTTCTTTTTTTGGTAAGATAAAAAATGAACTTTTATAAGTTAAATTGAAATTTTTAATATTTGTATTCAAAGGATATCGAGGATGCATTGGCAGGAATCCAAAAAGCTGGTTGGGGACCAACCTTTTTTAGAGACCTTGGTGATAAAGGTAATTTTGATTTGTTTAAGTGTCTACTTATACTTTTTATTTAATAGACATATAATTAAGAGATTAAGGTATGAGGTTTGCAACTGTACATTAGAGACTGTAGGGTTGTGAATATACATAGAGAATGGTGTGGTGTCATATTTTTTAATAGATGTTTTTAAAAAGTGATAAAGTACTCATTAAGTAGGAAGTACTTTTCTTAAACTCTTTGAGCAATTACATATAAATTATTAAAACATCAATTTCAATTAAAGCCTGGAGAGAGAGAATGAGACAGAGTATCTAAAATAAGAGAAGGCCTCAAAGAGAATCCAGAGGAACACCAACATTTCCAGAGTTAGAGGGAAAAGTGCCCACAAAAGAGACTAAGGTAGATGAGAGAAGTAAAGGAACTCCAGGAGAATGTTTATCACAGAAGCCAAAAGGAGAAAGTGCTAAAGAAAGAAGGAGTTACCAAACATGTAAATATTCAGTAAATTAAGGGGATTGAGTAAGCTATGGACCGAGCAATGTTCACTACATTTAGCAAGAAAGTTTTTTGACGCCTCAACAAGTATAAAGTCAGTGATGTGATGGAACCTGAAGCCAGATTACAAAATGTTGAGAGTGAGTAGAAACGTGAGCTTTCAGTGCAGATGCTTGAAAGACATGGGTGTGAATAGAAGCAATAGAGGATAGTCCTGCTGGGGGTTGGGGGGGAGACGGGAATGCTGGTTTATTTTTTATGGTGAGATTTGAGCATGTTTCATGCTGATGAGAGGGAGAAGTGGAAAATGTAAGAGAAAGAAAGTATGAATAGGACGGAACCTTGGAAAATGTGAGAAGCGATTGTCTTCAGAGTACAGTGGAAGGATCAGCATGAGATGGGAGGATCGCTTCTCCATTGTATCAGTAAGAAAGGATGAAAAGATTGGTATTTAAAGGCAAATATTTTGCAAGTTTAGTGGTTGGACGTTGAGTCAGTTCTTCGGGGTGAGTTTGATTTTCTTTAAAAAAATAAGAGAGGTGGTAGGGTTAAAGTTTACGGAGAAAATAGGTTTAAAATAGCTTCTATGATAAGGAGAGAGAACTGAACAGAGAAACATAGAAAAATTGCTGTGACACCTTAAAGAATCAGAAGAGAATGTAGCTCATGAAAGAATAGAGCCACCAATCAGTGCAATTGTGATTATTTTCCAGCGTCCCACATGTAGGAATAGAAATGTTGGACAGTTGTGTTGATTCAGGATTAGGATTTTGTTAAACAAATAGCTGGAAGAAGAGTTGTGGGGCTAGGGAGTTGAGAATATTGAGGGCAAGAGAGGCTTTAAATAATAAGCCACAGAGTCTAAGCAGAATAATAGGGAAAAAAGTAAATTAGGAAGAGATAAAAAGTACAAGTGGAGAAGTCACGAGAGAGAGGTGCCAGGTATAGTGGGAGTACAAGAGCAGAAAAGAACTTGTAGTCACAGAGTAAGGTTTCTGAATTTAAAAGTTCAGAGATGAAGCATTTCCAAATGATTCCAGAGTTCAGGATGTGATCATGGAAGTAGATGGCTAAGTAGGAGTAGGTGGCAAAATTAATTTAGTGAAGGTTATCAAGGATCTGAAAGATAGGGTTTTGTCATTTGTATGTTGAAATCACCTAGGATGATGACTTGAGTAGAGAGAAAGACAGTGAAAAACGTCCTAAAGTCCCCAGTGAATGAGAGATAATGAGAGGGAAGTTTGGTAGATGGCACGTAGAGGAGAAGTGGAAGGTGATCTAGCTAGATGCCATTAGCCTCAAAGGAACAGAAGATTTTTACAGGAAGGTGGAAGTATAAAGGTCTGGAATTAGCATTGTGGTGGAAGAAAACAAGTAACCTCCATTTGGGAAGCCTATAAGGGTACCAATATTATTAGTAGAGAACCAGATTTCAGATAAGGTAAGGAGACTAATCATACAATGCATAGGTTAAGGATGTTTACTGTGAAATGGGAATTTCAGAGAACACAGTAGAAAAGTTTGGGTAGAAGGAGAAGAGTGGGAGGTGGTTGAGTCAGGAAAAATCATAGAACAGCATGCAGATTATAACCAAAGAGGATAGATACCATCGTAGGGAAGGGAGATGGGGTTTCTGAGGGTGGTTGGGTATAAGCCAGAGAGGTAAGCAGAGACCAAATCATATATGGCTTTATAGGACATATTAAAGAAGTCTGACCTCATCCTGAGAACAGTGAATTGACATTGAAGAGTTGTAAGTAAGAAAGTGATAGACCTGATTAGAAAAATCACTCTGGTATCAGAGTGGTGAATGAATTAATTTAAAAAAGGGAGCAGAAGAAGAGACAATTAGGAGGCTTTTGCAGTAACCTTAGCATGCTTTTGCAGTAACCTTAGCAAGAGATCATGTGCTGGAGAAGAGTACAAATTTGATAGATATTTTTTGATAGAATTGATAGGATGTGGTGATTGATTGGATGTGAGAAGGGAGAAAGAAAAAGGAATTAAGTGTGATGCTCATGTTTCTGCTTTGGGCAGCTAAGTGAATGATTATGCCCGAGGTACATGGAACATAGGAAAAGGACTAAGTTTTTTTTTGGTGGGTGAAAGGGAGGGGATGAGACCAGTTTAGAATATAGTGAGTTTAGATTTTAAAATTATCATCAGCTAAATGGCACTTGAAGCCGTAATTGCAGATTAGACCATGCAGGAAGCATGTGTAGCATGAGGAGAGAAGAGACCTTGCTATAGAAGGTCATAGTTTAAGGAACAAGCAGAGGAGAACCCTTTAAGGATGGTTGAGAAGGAGTGGCCAGAGAGTCAGGGATTCAACCAGGGGAGTGACTGCATCAGTGCTGTGCTGGTAGTACTTCCAAAATAAGGACATATGATAAATAATAACAATAATTACAAATACTTACTGGCAGCTTCCTATGCATCAGATACTGAACCCTTTACATGTATTAGTGCATTTAATCCTCACAGCAGTCCTATGAGGAAGATACTGTTATTTAATATCCCTGTGTTATAGATGAGCTGACTGAGGCACAAAGAGGTTAAGCAACCTGCCCAAGGTCACATACAGCTAATAAATTCAATTCATAAATACCATTTCACTTTATTCTCATATCTAATTCAAGGGTAGTTGTCAGTCAAAAATTTCACTTTAATAAATATCATTTGGAGATATTTACGTATGCTCATACAAATAGACAGGGGATCTCCACTGGTCCTTTTTAATCTAAGAACCAGTCTATATTTGACAAGTTATAGAAAAAATGCTCACCTGAAGTTTGGTGATAAATTAATAACAGGTAATGTTCTTTACTGTTGTCTGAAGAAGGAATTGGATAATTAGAAAGCAAATGTAATTTCTAAATCAGTGGTTCATAACCCTTTTATTGAACACAGAAGAGTTTTTACAGTTATCCTAAGAGGTTTATAACATTCACAAATCAACATTAATTTCAAAATGATAATATCTATCACATAACATTTCCTAGAAGAGGAAAGCAAAATATGACAAAGAAGATATAGTAACACTGGCATCCCAACTCCAAAAAGGAAATTAATCAAATTGCTGATTGTTAATAAGCACTGATTTTTGCTTGTCCCTTAAGTGTCTCAATATTCAGTGGGCTAGATAGATTTTCATTATATTCTAGAAGTATTAGTTCTTTATACTAAACTGTCTAGTTATCTTTATACCTCTCTGCCCCACCCCTCATCCCATTCCTTTCAGTTGTGGAACCAGAGCATCCTTATACTTTAAGAGGTTAAATTCCTTAATTTTTTATAGTGGAAATTTAGTGGGAGGTAGTGGATAAAAGTGTGTATTTTGGTGTCAACAGAACTAACCTCAGATTTTTCCTAGTTTTATGACCTAGGGAAGTTATTTAATCTCTTTCCTCCTCACTTTCATCGCCTTTAAAACAAATAGTAGTATCTTCCTTATGGGATTGTTGGAAGGAATTAATAAAATAAAGTGTTTTTAAAGTTTATAGTATCTGGTACATAGCCCTCAGAAATATGATTAAGAGGATGGGCTTTTTAAGCCTGGTTTAGGTTCCTAGCTCAATTAGTTAGCTGTGTGACCTTGGGCAAGTTACTTAACCTCTCTAAGCCTCACTTACCTTACTGAGTTTCTGGGATGTTGTAAATTTATTATTGATAATATTCGTAATATTGTTAATTGGTATTAAGATTTAATATTAACTGGACTCATTAGTAAATTTGTAAATTAAAATAAATAACACATTTTAATCATAGTAATGAATATTTTGTAAGATGTTACTTTAGGAAATTGTCATTAATTTGGTGCCTCAGAATGGATTTTAGGTATAATATTTAAATCCCAAAGACTAGTATTTAGATCAAAGCTATAGCTTTGGGGTGTCCTTTCATGGAATATACTTTTCTGAAAGCGTTTTGAGATGTTGAAAAAGATACTGTTTATTAGATGTGAAAACGTGGGTATTGTCTGTGGATATAAATTAAGTTGTTTTGTGATTATTTGATTTTTTTTCCTGAAGTAAGGAAAAGTTGGAAGTTCTATAATAATTTTGACCTAATGACAGTATTAGAACTGGGAATAGGTTAATTCAGCATTTGTGTAAAGCTCTAGTTAAATGTAATGTGATTTTACAAAGTCTATTATGAAATTATTTTCAAAGCAAATTGTAAAATAAAAACTGAAAAGAGAAAGTGAACTGAGGAATCTGACTCCGTTTTTTGGTATTAAACGTCAGACAGCTTTTAAGCCCCACTCTTCCCTCTCTTCCTTTGTCCCCACATTGGACAAGCTCATCAGAAAACTGCAGGCTCCCTTCTTTGTCACTGGCCTCTGCGGAAATTCTCACCCCATCCCCACCCCTAACCGCAATAAAACCCAGGCCAGTTTCCTTTCCTTGTTCTCTCAAACCATTTCAGACCTGCTTGACATGCCTGCCATGGTCTTTCCAGAGATCTCAGTTGTGCAAGTAATAAACCTTTTCATATCCTCTTAGTGTCATCAGTCTTGACATCTAAGCCAAACCTTGGGTGGGGGCCCACCTGCCTCGGCAGGTCACTGTAAGAGAAAGTTTAAACCATTCTAAGAAGAAAATATTTGGGACATAAGAAATTAGTCTGTAGTACTTAAGAGAGAGACCCGTTTTCCTGGACCTTACAAGCACACTTTACTTTTGAAAAGAAGTATCTATACAGCCTTGTTCCCAGCCACTAACCTTACGACTATTGGTAGTGGCTTAAGTGCTTGTCCGTTGCCTCTATCTGGAATACCATTGATACTCCACATACATGAACAACTTCCTACTCATCTTACTCTATGAAAGTAATCTTTAATACCATTGAGCAGGGTTTCTTGCTCTCTCATTTTTTTTCCCTGTTGTTACACTTTACTGTCACTTGTCTTATTCTAATGAAGCCATTCCTCTTATATCCCATTTAAGATTAATTGATATTTCATCACCAAATTTTTTTTCTTCTGCCTAAAGAAATCACTTAGATAAAAAAGAAGCACCTCTCACTAATTTTAGAGCAAACACAAAAGATATGTATTAGGGTAATCATATTTTTTAATGTATTATGTGATTCATAGGATTCTACTAAGGACCATTGAAATGACTTACAAAGGACTGCATTTTTTTTTCCCCAGAGTCTTGAGGCTCAGCTGTTTTTTTTGTTTGTTTGTTTGTTTTTTTATTGTACTTTAGATGAAGGTTTACAGAACAAACTAGGTTCTCATTAAACGGATAGTATACATATTGTTTTATGACATTAATTAACAACCCCACGACATGTCAACAGTCTCCCTTCTCGACCTTAAGTTCCCTGTCACCAGCTTTCCTGTCCCCTCCTGCCTTCTAGTCCTTGCCCCTGGGCTTGTGTGCCTGTTTAGTCTCGTTTTGTTTTATGGGCCTGTCTAATCTTTGACTGAAAGGTGAACCTCAGGAGTGACTTCATTACCGAGCTAAAAGGGTGTCCGGGGGCCTTACTCTCACAGTTTCTCCAGTCTGGTCTTTGTGAGTTAGAATTTTGTTCTACATTTTTCTCCATCTCTGTCCAGGACCCTCTATTGTGCTCTGTCAGAGCAGTCAGTGGTGGTAGCCGGGTACTATCTAATTGTATTGGACTCAGTCTGGTGGAGGCCATGGTAGTTGTGGTCCATTAGTCCTTAGGACTAATCTTTCCCTTGTGTCTGTAGTTTTCTTCATTCTCCCTTGCTCCCAAAGGGGTGAGACCAGTGGAGTATCTTAGATGGCTGCTCACAGGCTTTTAAGACCCCAGACACTACTCACC